GTAAAGGGATCAATTGACTACCTATAAGATGGCAAAAGTGCATAGATAGCAATTAAATATAAAAAAATCAATAGCGTTACAACCTTTTTAGGTCTGGGCCTCAGATTTTTGTATCTGTTTCATGGTCATTTGGTAATCTAATAGGCAAGTAGGTGATCAGCCTTCTGTGCCTGACGCACGCCATTGGCTTTTTGGGTCTAAGGCAAGCCGGTTTCTAACGATTTTTCCTTCGCCGTTCGAGCGAATTTTAAATGCGCACATAGAAATAAAGTCCATTGGGGCACAGCCGGGGATCGAACTTACAACCTCAGGGATGAGAGTCGCACGCTGAAGCCACTAGGCCAACACTGCTCTAAAGCAATGAAATATATTCTATTAAAAAAAGGTCCCAGACATAACGCCAATTCCATATATTGTTAGGACCTAATATAGAACTCTAACGACATAATTTCTAGTGTGTATCTATACAATTCAATTATATTGCTTAATTATAATGCTAATCAAACCATTGCAATACATATTGCAAAAAAAATATCGCACAGCAATCTGATAATATCGTGTTTCTAAGAATTAATATAAATTTCATTCATCAAGAATCACAAGAAGAAATGAAATTGAGTCTCTGCAAATCGAATTTTTCTATATTAAGAATATCTTGCGAGAAATATTCAATTTGCTGGTTTGAACGACACTAATTTAGGAATTATTTGATTGGGTGTACGTCTCTCGCTCCGATAAAATTAATGAACTGCCCTGCGATTCTGTAACTCACTTTTCGAACTCACACAGCGGTTTTCGCATCGGCGGTCGCTCTCAAATCAGTCGTGAAGCAGTCATTTAACGATTTGGCATTCTGAAAAGGTGGGAGCTTGTAGTTTATTGTTTATCAGAATGCCAAATCATAAAAAGACTGCTTCACGACTGATTTGAGAGCGACCGCCGATGCGAAAACCGCTGTGTGAGTTCGAAAAGTGAGTTACAGAATCGCAGGGCTGTACTCAATTTAAATTTCGTCTGTAAATAATATTTCCGTTTTATACAATCGTTATATAACGTATTTATTATATTATAAGAATACGCTTTTCAAATTGTATACGATTTCTAAAATGATTAAATGTTTATTCTGATGTAATTAAAAATTTATACACTATTTTAGATGGAATTCTACATTTAAATAAGAATGAACCCTTATGGGGTATTTACACGGGTCGATTTTCGCCGTGCGGCGAGTCGCTTCACAAATTGCCTCACCAAGCCGCATCGCTAGCCCATTTACACAGGTTACTAAAATCGCATGCGGCTCGGTCATTTCCATCGAAAATGTTGAGCTGAATAGCCGTTTGTGCCGGAATTGAAATAATTAATTATTCAATTATTGAACAATTGCTTAAAGAACAAAGAGAGAAGAAAAAACAAAAGGAAAGAAGAAAACGTAATGTTTGGGTACGAGGATGGATTTCTCGACGTAAGGTCTTGGGTGCTTCGGATACTTTATTGGTTGAGTGGAGTTTAGAAGATCCTGATTATTTTAAAAAACAAAAAAAATTAAATATTATTATTATTGTAGTAAATAAATACACGTGCGTGCGCGAAACACCTTCATGCGGCGGGCGATCGCCTGCAACTGATCGTTTACACGGTCGATTTTAGTCACCAGTCGCATGCGGCCGGTCGCCGCGCGGCCAAAGTCGGATGCTACCCAACTTTGGGGCTTGCGGCTTTAGTCACTTGCGACTTAGCCGAATTGCCATTTAGATGGTCGATTTACACCGCGCGGCAAAAATAGTGCGGCTTTAGTCACCCGTGTAAACCCCCTATTACACTTACCTTATTTTCATATAACGCGATTATGTCCCTCGTATAACACGGGTATTCCCCCATATAAAGCTGGGATTGTACACGTTATATTTCTATACTGTGACATTTATAATTTATACGCACATATTTCGTTTCATAACATAGTTTTTTCTTAATATTCGATTTAAATGCCTTTAAAAAAAAATTAAACGTGAATCCTTTGTACATAATGCGTTATACGTATGTTTATTACGAGCAAATGTATGTGAAAACTTTTGAACAGTTTTGAAGAAACAATAATACTTATGAAAGGCTATTTTGTTGAATATATCAACCACCCACACATCTTATCCCTAGCTTTCGTACTAACTGATGTAAACTGATCTTATGGTGATTCATGTGCACTTTTTCTTTTACATGTGTCCTTTTTTGTTCCTGTTTTAGTTTTGTCTAAATAACTACATATATGTATTATGTACTTTTGTAATTCTTGCTAACCTTATCAATTTTTTTTGGAGCTTATTGAAGTTTACTCCTTAAGAAACGATTTGAGTTATAAGGCCCGGTACGGAAATTTTATGAGGAGTAAAATCAAGTGTAACACGAAAAGTTGAGGCGTTATATAGAAAGAGACAAATGGATTGAACGTGTAAAAGAATGAGATGGAATACATTACACAGACTTTTCTATTTTGAATTCACGTTTTGACAGCCACGTTACAACATTGTCAGTGTTGACAGGTGTAAAAAATAAAAGTAGATTGTCTAGCGTGCCATAGAGTTTTGTCAATAGTAATGGTCAGTGAAATTAAAACTAAAAAGATTGTTCGTTCTTATTCTTCTCTTACTATAAAGGTAACTTTGGTCACAGAAAGAAAATCCTATTTGGGCATAGATGATGTAGGTACGTTTTATTACTACTACAAACATTTATATTATAAAAACATATATTCTTACCACCTTTAGTATGAAAATATGGTCGACAGCCACAGAACATTATCGCCATTTTATCGTTCGTAAGGAGTAAACTGCAATCGTGCGTCGTAGCTGACACGCACACACTTTTTTGTTCTCACATTGGTTGCCTGAAAAAGATTTCTCGAAAGCGTTAAGGCCGCCAGTTGTACTCTTTTTCATTTTATTATGTCAATTTTATTATATGTCTGTATGCAACGAAGTGTTAATAAATATAAAAAAAATTGTTGCTAATAGATAAGTATCGTTGTTAGTAGTTCCGACATAAATATTTTAAAGACAAATAGTAGACTAAGAACCCATGGGTTTAATAACTTGTTTTAAAAACATATTTAAAACAATTAGCACACAATAATTGACTTATTAAACTGCACGTAATTTAATTTATTCATGTAACGTTATGGAGATTTTTTCATTTATTTACGAGAAATCGGAATACAAAGTTAATCTAATAATATTTCAATTTATTTTACTAGAATAATTGTAAATACTAGGTAGTGTTATTTTAAGGCATATTAACCTCTATGGGGCATGGAACAAACACATTTCTGCCTCTGTTTCATTGATTTGTTTTTGGCCAAGTTTAAAATGAAATAAAACAATTTTAATTATATGCTTTTTAGTCTAGTACCAGAAAATGCACTTACGTCTGCACACATTATTTCACCTCATTTTCTAAAGTAAGTATTCGTAGTATTTAATTAAAGAAAAGCTCGTATCTTAACAGAATACGCACTTTAGCAAGTGAATTTTTCCCTGTTAACGTTCAATTTCGATAAGTTAAAAGGGTTGGGCCGTCCCTTGGGGCAGTAGCCACATTGGACAAATGTGACGCGCAAAAACTCGTAACTTCTACTAACGTGTGGCCGAAATGTCTTGAATAGGGCGAGGAATTGTGTACTTTTATTAAAAAGACTACAATTTTATATACGTATATATTTATTGATATTAATATCATCACAACAATATTAAGATAATAAAGTAATTACGATATTCTTACCTTCATAGTGGTAATAATAATTAAAAATTGATAAAACCAAGTTATACTTTATTTATTGTTTAAGTTTATCGGTTATAAGTAAAATTATGCATTACAATTATTAGATTTGGGAAACCTGAAATTTAAGTATTCTTTTTCGTTTTGCTCAACTACACCAACTAAATTATATAAGGGCAGCACTATTACAATCTGAAGGATGAAAATTCAAAGTAATAAGATTTATTATGTATATTCAAAGTAGTAACATTTAACAAAATGTATAAATTACTAGCTGTCTATTTATTCGCACATAACTTAAACTTTATAGGACACAGTAAGACTAATAGGCAATGAAAATGACGAATCCTATTCAATCGTTCATGTTCTTATAGGTTTTTAATTTTCTGTTGAAATAATTAATAAAACTATATATCCTAAAAACTTTAATTTAATTTTAAAAAATTGAATAGCATAACGAGTACTTACACCGACTTCTAACTCTTGACTCCATATTTTGTAGGAACTCTAAGAAATTATTTTAATGTCTCATCTAACGACGAACTCACTTTACTTCGAAAGTGTGACTGTGTTCATTCAATAAATTAAATATCTATAACGCTGATGAAACTTTTCACCTTGTTACATTTATATCGCTATTCAAATTACTGCGTAACACTGCGCTATAAATGTGTAAAAATACAAAAGCCGCCACGAACTTATTACGACCACACCTCCCTTAATGAAAATGGACGTTTATGTAGATGTTATTTCTTTTATTTAGCTGACAATACAAACACATTATTCCCGCCTACAATTAGCTTAAAAGGTATTGATTACTACTATTAAATTGAATTTGATTGTTGTTTTTGTCCTAGTTTTTAATGTAGAAATCAAAAGTGGTTTATATGCGTGTATATTTTCAATAGTGGTACTGACAGTATTGATTCGTTTTATATTGAATGATTTCGATCGGTTCAATAGGTTTTTTCTGTAACTGCGCTAATATCGCAAACAATTTCGCTATCGTTATTGTAATTCTTACGGCGCTGGAATATATAAATACTTAGAAGACTTGAATATCCTGTCGACCTGATTTGTCTTAAGCAAATAAAAATATATGTGAATAAATAAATGAATATAACAAGGAACAATAAAATAGGTGTTCTATAATATTAAAGAAATTAATAAATAGGTGTTTTAAAGGAACCATCTTTTGCAGAGTGCCTGCTGAGCGGGTAGGATGCGGCGGTATGCACTGCACGACGGCCGTGTTACTCATGGGCCTGCTTACGAACGCGGCCGTTGAAATTACACCGACCACAGGTAAGAATTAATAGGGTCTAAAAAAATATATATTCTTCAGAATGAAGCAAATATATTATGCATAATATGATTTTGATATATGGTAGATTTTACCATTGTACACGATATACCACCACCGTGGCGGTACGACTATATAATTATATTTATATTTTTTATTGTTTAAGTTCCTAACAATTAAAATATTATTTTTTCTGAACAGTACATTTTTATGGCAACAATGAATGCCTACTTAATCAGCTTTACCAAGTGTTTTTAATGAATATAGTTTTGATTTTTTGATACTTCTGAATTTTCATACTTACTTTGTTAGAAAACATACCACATCAATATACAATTGAATTTTTGTATTTAAAATTACTTTTGTACTACTGCAATTACTGCAATTACTTCCAGTTTAAAAATAATTTGTTTTTCAGGAGCTACTGAAGCATCTACAACAAATAGCCCACCGCCCACAGTTTTCCGCAATACGATGACAACAAAGACACGACCTGGTACAAGACGGAAGTCTGGCTCTCCGATGCTTAACTACATATTCGACTCCTACGCAACAAGCAAACAACATTTTCATGATACGTAAGTAAACTTATGAACAGCGAACCAGGAAAATCAACAGATTCCCTTTGATATTTGGGTAGTGCATTAACAAAATTTAGTCGAACTGTGCACCAATCGATTTCCTGTCAATGTGCGCATTTATTTAACAGTCGCTCGTACGGTGAAAGAAAACATCATAAAGAAACTATTTAAAATTCCTCGGTCTTATACAAACTATTTACGTAAGTCCTGTATCGTATACCTTCTGATTATAACACAAATTACCAGCAAATAGATATATTTAATGTAACTAAAAATGTTTAAAAAAATAATTTTAAAAACTCTGGTATCTTTTATTAATAATGGCTTTGTTATTCTTCCTTTATATTAAATATATATTATAATGATCAATGAATCTTAGAACTTAGAATTTATTATAAATACATATATACTTTGTTATATTTTTTGTATATATAGTTGAGACTGTGCTTTGTTTATGTTTGGATATTGTTTAGTGAGTAGCTGTAGGAGTTGAGCAAATAAAGAAAATAAAAAAAGTGTGTGTGTGTCAGCTACGACGCACGATTGGAGTTTACTCCTTACGAACGTTAAAATGGCGATAATGTTCTGTGGCTGTCGACCATATTTTCATACTAAAGGTGGTAAGAATATATGTTTTTATAATATAAATGTTTGTAGTAGTAATAAAACGTACCTACATCATCTATGCCCAAATAGGATTTTCTTTCTGTGACCAAAGTTACCTTTATAGTAAGAGAAGAATAAGAATGAACAATCTTTTTAGTTTTAATTTCACTGACCATTACTATTGACAAAACTCTATGGCACGCTAGACAATCTACTTTTATTTTTTACACCTGTCAACACTGACAATGTTGTAACGTGGCTGTCAAAACGTGAATTCAAAATAGAAAAGTCTGTGTAATGTATTCCATCTCATTCTTTTACACGTTCAATCCTACAGATATATATGTTTGTCTCTTTCTACATAACGCCTCAATTTTTCGTGTTACACTTGATTTTACTCCTCATAAAATTTCCGTACCGGGCCTTATAACTCAAATCGTTTCTTAAGGAGTAAACTCCAATAAATAAACTGGAACGTTAAGCAACCAAGGCGTATCACTTGCCTATTAGAAAAAAAAACAAATGATAACGAAACAAATTCAGTAATCGAAGGCGCAAATCTTGTACACTGGTTCGTTTTATAATGAAAATTCGACGAAAAAGCAACGTATCTTATGACGGTTTAGGTACTATTAATTTCTCTTTCGCGACTTCATTTGAAAGAGGAAATCAAACATTAAATATGACTTGATTAATGTGACTAGACTTTACTAGTACATTGTTGTGATAATTGGTGAGTGGTTCTTATTGCTATTTATATAAAGACCCAGCAACGTTCAAGATTTTAATATGAAAGTAGAGAACATCGCTAACATTCACTTATACTGTTTATGACATTTCAAAGATGTTCCACATATTAAAAAGTGCGATGTGTAAGCAAAGTTTTTTTTTAAAGGATAATCCGACGACAATTAAGCCTTAACTGCTACAAATAGAGTGATCAGCTTAGTGCGCTAATGAGACTAATTTTATTAATACAAACCTACGTTATCTCATTTACCAGTTTAATGAAGAGCTTTCAGTATGGTATCCGGGTGTTTATCACACCAGGGCAAAATTAGGTTAGTTTTAAATGTAGAAGTACCGTAACTCCTAAGACAATAATTTTTAAGGATTTGCAGTAGTTATACTAATAATAAAAGCATTTATTGCTGGAATTACTTAAACTAGTACATACAAATGTAAAGTACTTATACCTTAACACTCAAAAAAAAAAACACTAATAATTAATCCGCAAGTTGGTTAATTTCTGTTATACAGCTTATCCTTGGACATAGGTCTCCTCTAGTAGCTTCCACTCTTCTCTGTTTCTTTACGTAGCCACATAGGGCCAGCTGCTCTTCGCACATTATCTTCTGACTTCTTCTTTTTATTTGTCTTCCTCGTTTTCTTTTGTCATAGCGAGGAAAATATTCCGTCGCTTTTTTCGTCCACTTATCTTTATCTTAATTATTGATTTCTATTATCTTCTCATCATACATTGTGTATGATTTTGAGATTGAGGAAGATAATAGACATAGATAATATGTCCTGTCCATTTCCATTTCAATCTTTTACTAGAAGTAATATCATTTCTAATATTTGTCATGTTTATTTCTTCTAGTTTTACTCTAGCTTTCAAGTTCAGACCCAAAACTCACCTTTGGATACTATTCTGCAGTAGGTAACACACAACAATCGGAAATAAAATCTAGGATAGTACTAGTTTTGACAGTGCTACGGAAGCGTTATGAAAAATATGAATTTTTCTCTAAGTTAGAATTTCACTTCTTGCCTATAATGACGATGCGATGTTAATCTCTTAAGATCATATCTTAATCGAGTTGAATTCTATATTTATTCATTTAAATATAATTATGTCGTAAATAATCGCGTCGTAATGTTATCGACATGTGATAATTCATTTATGCAAAGTACATTCAATATTATCTGTGGTTTATGCAAGTAACAATCAAAATCAAAATATCATTTATACACGTAGGTACACATGTACACAACATAATTAATATTTATGAACATTAGTGAAACAATGAATGCTTCTAAATTCAAATTTACTATCAGTACTTGAATTACACGGACACAACAACATTAAAAAAGGTTTTTATATTTATACGCTACGTTATAAAAATTTGTTTGGAAATCTCAAATGCACTTGCCATATTAATTGGATAGCTGCAAATATTTAAAAGAAGCCACTATGTTTAATAAGATTTCAGGATTTTACAGCGATCGCATACCACATGTTACGAGGCGGTGTAACAGGCGGTAAATTAATTTGTATCCATGTCACGTTTGTAAAGTTTCCCCTTTGAATAAAACAGAGCTCGTTTCAGTTTTTCGCTGAAAAGTATTTTGCATGCGAATTCACGGCTTTATTTTATAAATTTCACAATTTACATTAAAACGAGGGATTGTGTACAGATCGACGACACGTTTACTTTTACATTGTTTTTGTTAAATCTCCGGTGAATTGAACAAATGTCCAATTATAATCATCCATTTACTTTTCATCAGACATTAATACGATATTTTATCACAAGGTCACGTATCACGTTAGGTCCTGCTATAGTAAGTATAAGATTTTTAAATATTTTATTTTATTAGTTTGTGTTTCCAAACATAACCTTGAAGTAAAGGCAATTTAAGTTATACAAGCCTTATGTACTATTATAAGCCTTATACTTTGATATCCATACCTTTTTAATCACCAAAATAAATGAAATCTAAGAATTCCCGTAGCACATATAAATACACATTTCTGCTTTTATTGAATCTTGCAACACGAAAAAAAAATGTTTTCAATGGTAAACTCAACACCACTATTTACACTGAAACTTCAGTAATCAGCTCAAGCAAATTAATATTTAATAATTAAAATTTGTTTATTACCGTAGTAATGTATGTAAAGAGACGTAATCTATGATCATATCTATAGCTTAAATTAGGATGACCTTATATGACTTCTCTACCTCAAGCTGTGTCAGGTCTCATTGTACTACTAAATTTATGGCATGTGTATTAAATAAATAAACACCTCCAGGATCTGATATTAGTTCTACGTAAACTTAATAGCATATCAAACACAGTCAAATATTATAATTTAGATTTGCCGTCGTGACCGAGAGACTGTGAGAATTATATATATTATCGTAGCTTGATTGTGTGAGTAAATTTCCTACTATTTTCACACCATGTTAATTCGGTTTAAGGATTTAAAAGTTGCCTCCTCTATAGAATATAAAACGTTGTGTTACTTTTAAAACCACGAACATATAAAAAGGTTTATAATTTTAATTAAATATGGCAGACTATGTTTCGTCTGTCTTGGATTTCTATTAATAATATATTTATGCTCTACTGTGAACACGGTCACCTGAGGGGTAACACATTTGCTTTTTATTGCTTAAGCGAATTCGGTTAATTAATTAATAAATTTATCAAGTGACCTGGAAAGCCTACTTAATTAAGATAAACTTATTCCAATTCATATTAACATTAGGCAATTAATATGCAAACGGATCGCTTCCATATCTTCAGCGTACTGTAAGCATGAATATATTATGTGAATTAATCGCGATATGATTATTAGCTATTCGATATAGATCTTTATCATCACCAAGCTTTTGTGTAACTGTAAGGTTTTAGGATTCTACTTTATTATGTATATTCTGAGCCGAGTGCACCTTGATATCCTTGATTTTAGTTCATGCCGGTTTCCTCACGATGTGTTTGTTCATCAAAAAATGCTCAATCGTCGAGTCATTGACTTTTTTCAAGTATGGAACCTAATTCCATCCTTTGGTGACGCTTGTCGTGTCCACCATGTTTGTTTCTTCGATAATTTTCTTTTGTCATAGAAATGCGATAAACCAAGAACATTCTATTGGTATACAGGTTAAAACTCACGACCACAAGTTAAAGAAATCGTATTTTCATCTACTAAGACTATCCAAGAATCTATAGGACTTACAAATGGTAAACTTTTCAAAGTATCAAATTAAAGCATAAGTATTATGAAAATATTTAGATTAAAATTATATCAATTTAACAACTTTATGTAAATCATAGCTGTGGAAAGATACAAGAGGCGGTAAAATATTATTTGCCAGCTATTGCTGGTCGCAGCCCTAGATGTTTAATTGGCGTCCCAGTGCGAGCGTGCCGTAATCTAATGGCAAACAAATGCTATGCAGTCCAGTTATTACGTGACATACATTTTGTTGAACAATCAACACATTTATAAATACTGGATTTGCATATAATGCATAACTAGTAATATATAGTATTAGCTTATTGCTTGCGATTTTCAGCACTTATGCTTTGGGCCCATATGTCTACGAATTTATCTTTCTATGAGCCGTAAAGCAGGCGGTTAAGTTAAGGGAAAACGACTATATGTACTCACTTGCATGGCAAGTATTAGATACCTCTTGTTCATTGGTGGCCTCCATTATACCAATAAAAAAATGTAGTCTTCCCACGTAACATTTCCTGGAGGTCTCCTCCAGCGGGAGGCTTTGGCGATCCATTTTTTATCTGTGCTTCTTGCAATATAGCCCGCCAATTTGACTCTCCGTCTAATTGCGTCTTAACTAAAGTAGTCGTCTGTCTTTTTAGATCACACGTAAACGCACGTTATGTAAACATAATTTGACAGGAGAGGAAGTATATAAATAAAAAGTAATAAGAAATAAATAAAAATAGTCTTTATTCGAGTACACTATAACTACAGTAAGTCCATGTCTTTTAAGTTTTACACTAGTACTCAACTTCGACGGAGTGAAGGCCTCCTCCAAAATCTTCCATTTGGCCTTATTTGTTGCGACAGATTCCAGTCTTTTCCCGCTATCCCTTTTATTTCATCTTCCCAAGTTTTAGGTGGGCATCCTCTCTTTCTTTTTCCCACTGGGCCCTTCCAAGTAAGGGTCTTTTTGACCCATCTGCCATCACAAATGCGGCCAATGTGACCGGCCCATTTCCATTTCAGCCTTTTTTATATATTACAACGTCTTTTATTTTTGTACGGCTTCGTATCACCTCGTTTTTTACTTTGTCTTTTAGTTTCAATTGAAGAATCGAGCGCTCCATAGCCCTTTGGCATTAAATTATAAAAATCCAGGTTTGGCATCCATATGACAGACATGGTAGTATGCATGTGTCCATGACTGTTCTTTTTATAGTTAAGTTATGTATGGATTTCAGTACGTCTTTTAAAGCCCAATATTTGTTCCATGCTAGGTTTACTCGTCTGTTTGTCAGGACAATGTCAATTTGACAGGACACGAAGTAATATATTATAGTTAAAAGATTGCAATTACACTGATTTCGTTTTAATGAAGGTCATGCCAGAAATTTGATACTTTTAAAATATTTGTTAATGATAATGACATCTGGGTAGAATTGATGTTTATTTATAATAAAGTATGTATGTGTGTATTTTTATATCCGCAGTCATTCTCGAAATTAGGAGTTTTCGCATTAGCAAACAACATAAACATTAAACAGTGTATCCTTTAATTGTTTCATTTTCGCAATTTGAAAGTCATGCAGTGTATTAGTAAAAGGTTTTTTAAATGATTACTTTCAACATTAAATACTTTACAAAACAGAAATCGTATTAATAATAATTACTCCTTTTGAATGTGGTACATATTATGACGAACAATTAAAATTAAACTAGCATGCAAATGTCCCATTATGATTAAAAGCAATTAAATTATTTATTATGTCATATTCTATGTTAGTTTCTTAAAATCTATAAAGTCCTTCACATTATAGGAGCATGGTTTTTAATAATGTAAACACCTTCCCCTAGATGAGGTAATTTTTAAAGTTTTAAGCCTAAATTATTAAGCCTATTGACATTTGTCTTCTCTACTTGCTTTTAAAAATATAATACCTGTATTGTCAATTAATTAATAGTATCTAGTCACTGAAAACAAATTAACTTAGTTAATAATAGTGTATGACATTGTTTTTCGTCAAAGTTTTTTTAGCTGTAAAAAGACAGTGGTTTAGTAAAAACATTGTACAAATAAAATCGTTAAGTGGGTTATGTTTGTATCACGTCCTTTAAAAACAGAAATGTATCTACATCAGCTTTATTTTTTGTTCAAAAACAAAACTCAGTCCAAATCCATAGACAACGCCTAAGTAAGTAACTTAAAATATGTAGATAAAGAACTGTCACAATTTTTCATACGATATTACTTAGGAAAGTTTGTATTACTGAAGAATTCTCGGTAAAATGCTGGTTTTAAAAGAATTCAATATTTATGGTTAATTAAAACGTTACGTACGTTTACGTAAATATAGTGTGGATTCCCAGCGCACGCGAGAGTCCTGGGACCTACTAATGGTGTTGCAGTATTTCTACTAAAACTTTAAGCTTTTTTAATAAATACTTTTGAGACATTTAGTGTATCAATTATTTTATAATTATATAATGTATGAAGATAAAAAGAACTCAAAATATATTTACAACTTTTTACACTACGTTAGTACGATAAATGTCGTATTTGTTTATTACAAAGCCATGTATTGTATATTGTAAAAATTGTTTTAGATTAAAAGCACCATCGTTCGAAGGAGATTTAAGCTCGGAGACAATCATGGATGCTGACACAGGGTCAACAGTGCTCTTTGATTGCAAAGTCTCCTCTTTGAGAGACAAGACGGTATGTTTTGAATATTCAGTAAATTATTTAGTATTCAGAGCCAGTACCAAAAATATTTTATCAACTTTAATATGTCTACGCTTTCGCAACTTTCGTGGTTCAAGTGGTGGTGGGTCTAGCGGACTTCAATTGTTTTGAGTTGGGAGGCTAGGTTATTTGCCAATAAAAATATCAGTAAATTACTAGACAAAACGTCCTATTAATATGTAAATACTTGTATATAAAGCTTAAGAGATTGTTTTTTTGGATGAGTGAGAAGTCAGGACCTACAGGTTGTGTAGTCCATTTATTAAGAAATAAGGGGGCGGGGAAGCCGCAAGGTAAACTTTGATATACGTGTTACATCCTAACTTCTTCATTTATTAAAGTAATAGATTATATTTGATTCGAATAGTTAGATTAGAATCAAATCTAATCTATTGTAACATTTATTTGTAAAGTGACACAGAGTACTGAATTAGAAAATTCAATAACTAGCTTAGCTATATCTCGACCACAGTAGTTAGTAAAAATGACAGTATAAAATTTATTATTAGTTTTATTGTGATTATAAATTTGTTGAGGAAATTTTAAATGTATAAATAAAAGAGAAAATTAAGTTGGATAGTTCATCGTCGCAACTAAGTTTTTATCAATTATCACACATTATACAAATATGAAAACCTTGGTAGAGTTCAAAAAGCCCAACAATCAACATCTTAGTGGATGGAATTTGTGAAACCATTAATAAAACAATTCAACAAATTCGGTATTGATTATTTAAAAAATAGACTTACAAAGTTTATTTAGGTTTATTTTCGAAGCGTGGAGTCATGTTTCATGCGAGTTTCCTCTGTATATTTTACATATACACTTATAAAATAACAAGCTGTTAACATTTTCATGCGCCGAATTTATTGTTGTTTGAATTTAATATTTAAATATTGAACCTAACGAAAAGTCACCGGAAACGGAACGAAGGTTTTCTATAAGTAATAAATTCGACGCGACGTTCTTTGCATACTAATAATATCATAAAATACCAAAATTACTTATTTAGCTTCTTCGACAAAAAAGAGTAGCAAATTCAGATAAACTGGCAATTCGAAATAATACGAGGCGTGAACAAAATCCCAATTGTTTGAGAATTATACGTAATCTAACACGACCGTGACGCACGTTGTTTTTTAACTTTATACGATGTTGCAAATCGAACATTTCTGAGCTGTATAAAATCATGGTGCTATTCCCAACTTTCTATTTGTGAGTGCAAACTTTACTTGTATTATAAAGTAATCATAGGGAATCTTTGTAAAGTTTTGATTTCAATTGATTGAATAATATGAACTGGTATTATTATATTTCAGTATTGTCTTTGATTTACGTGACTACCTTATATGATAATTATTTTAGGTATCCTGGCTAAAAGTCTCAGATGAAAATAACTTGGAACTATTGACGTTAAACTTAATAACTTATACAGCTGATTCAAGGTAAGCACATAATATTCATGCTTTAAATTTCAAATTTTCAGGCCAACAAGCAAGTTTCAGTCATGTTGTTTAATTATAAAATTGTACCCAGTATCTTCGTGCAAATCGAAAAAAATTGATCAATTAATGTGTTTATAACCTTAAATATATTTATAATAGGTTTCTTATCTTACTAATAAATCGACCCTTCATTCTTTTGATAGCTTACATATTTTTTAAATAAAATACCGCTTACCGTGTAAATAATTAATGGAATCTGGCAACTTGAAATGAATTGTACTATAGACATTATGACACTATAATTATACTTTATAATATGTCTATCATGTTTCAGATACAAAGTAGATTTGGCTGGAGAGAATTGGAAGCTATCATTATCTGATGCAAAATCTAAAGATTCTGGAGTGTATTGGTGTCATGTGTCTACTCATCCCCCTATGTTAAGAGTTTTTAGACTTCAAGTACATGGTAACTAATCACTAAACAGTTTTCATCATAATTATGCTTGATTGAATTGTCTAATACACCTCGGTAATTTGAAATTAAAACTAGGGATGCTAATAAGCATACAGCGGTAATAATGACTCCCATAGCTATTGCGGTATTAAATTCAATGTTAATATCCTATACCACGAGATCCTAATGCTGCGATAGCATTTATCAATATTGAAGGAACCATAAGGAAATTTTTGAAGGGAAACTTCTTTAGGCGCATGAGGGTAAATTTTTTTACGGATGACACGCAATAATAATAATATTAGCGTCACGAAAATGTGCAGCGTTTTTGTCGAAGAAAAGGGAGAGCGATTTAGAGCGATTGAGATAGAATGAGAAGATAGCAATGGAGCGAGATTAGAGAGCAAGCAAGTTAGAAAGATCGCGAGAGAGAGTTAGATAGAGTGAAAGTCGCATCAAGCACAGTGCCATGAAGCGAGAGGTGGGAGAGAGCTATAGTGAGAAAGATTGAGAGAGAGAGTAAGGGAGATCGAGAAATAAAATGGTGCATGTACTTATGTATGCGCGTAAGAAGTTATACTTCTTTGGCATTATTAATAATAGGTACATACGGATAGTTAACCTCAATTGTATTGAAACACTTAGGAAGGTTGATGAGAACAGTTTTTTCACAAATATTTTCTAATATTAATTAGTATCGATTTAAATATTCAATTTAAATCACTTCTGATTATAATTCAGACGCACATATAAAATTCGCAATTGTATAATGGCGCGTCTAAACGGGCCATGTTTTGCTGCAATTGATGGCTGCAACACTGTGGCCGGCAACATTGCAAACAATAGCAGCCACACTATGCAATATTGCAGTAATGTCCCGGCCATATAGCCAAACATGTTTTGTATAGCCACATATGGCCGATGTTGCCCCGATGGGTGGCCGGACGATCGCTAGGCTATCGAATTCAACTGCAATATTGCACAGCCAGTTCTCTTGTTGTTTCAGTCACTCTCTTTGTTATGGCATAGTGTATCCTTTTCTACGCGACATGACGTTTGCTTTGAGTGAAGTGTGCCTGTTGCTTTATTCTGTGTTTTGCGATCAGCTGTATTTGACGTTAGATTACTACGTAAAAATGACTACTTTTGACATTCTAGTTCTTGAATAATTTATTATCAAGACTTATTTCTAGACTCAAATTGTCTACAGTTTCACGCCTATTTAAGTAAGGTCGAATCCACAATCTATTCTTTTTCGGTTTCTTTTTTAAAACAATATAAGCTGCTGCGACAAGTGTGATTTCGTCAGCCATTGTTGCCGGTTTGTGTAGCCCGTTTAGGAGTCTGCATCATGGGCCATACTATTGCAACACATTGCCCAGCCATAGATTGTTCGGCCATCAGCTGCATTAAAATATTTTTGTAATGGCCGGGCAATTAGTGGCCAACAGTGCAGCCATCAATTGCAGCAAAACATGGCCCGTTTAGACGCGCCATAATGAAAACAAAATAAAAACACGTGTTTTAAATGTAGAAACTTAAAGCGTGTGGATAAATATTATAAATATAAATACACAGTGAACAGAGGCGGCGTGCGTGCCAACATGCGCCACTAACAGAGGTTCCATTTCTGTTTTGTTGGTAGCATTTTTTCCTCTACTTAATGAGTGATTTAGTGGGCAACTTCATTCTGTTAATTTTGTGTCACGCTGCGCGCGCATCGTAAAATTTCACACTCATCAATTTTTCATAAGGCGCCTAAAGAAGTATAACTTCACACACACTATTGATTGATATATTTGTTTAGTAGTTACATATTAGAACTTTAGATGGCAATTCTGTCGCATAACGTCTTTTTTTTATTAATTTACCAAGAAGTTTCACTTCTGACATATGTACTTTGTACGCACGCACTTTTTTTTCAATTCCGTCAGTATCGCTGTGGCCCTTAGAATTCTGTTCTGTTTTGTAAGAATTGAATGCAATTTTAATGCAATAACGTACCACCACAAACGACTGGCCCCATCAGTCACTTCGTATTTCACCTGCACATGCAGCCCTGGCATCTGGTTGATCCGGTAACCTCGCATCTTTTGAATTTCGGACGCTAACGGAAACGCCTGTTTGGAGACATTGCCAGGAGCCAGAATATTTGATGGTCCGCCATTTCATACTGTATTTATGATGGTTGCATTTTGATAAATAGTTCTACCAAACAGTAACAATTTGGATTACCGGGGAATCGAACCTTTCGAAGAGTTTATTTGCACTGTATGTACTATCGTTAAATTACATTAACTCTTTAGGTAATATTATTATTGTATAATGGGAATTTCTCTCGCACTAAAAATACAAACCCAAGATCGTTGTATGAGGAACTTCATAATAATTTAACGTAATTAATATACAAAATGGCTGAACCCCGCTCCGCTACTCAAACAAGCAAGTCTTAACTAGTTTAGTTAGTTTGTCTGTCTGCATGTTTAACACACATGTAGGATAACATTGCTTGATTCTTAAAATCCATTAATTGAATTTGACCTGAATTTGTTCCGTCAAATACGGTTGAAGATTTGATTCTGGTGGATCTATAATTGTTTGATGATATCTAGTATCGAAGCTTTCAAATGCATTGATTAGTAATCATATTATAAAGGTGTTCATTTTAAAATTCTGAGGAGAATAAGACACAGTCCAGTTAAGCCCATACTCGTGAACGGGTGCAACTTGTGGTGACTGGTCGGACTTGATTTCGTGTATGCGGTGATGTTAGTTATTTCGATTTGCGTGTTGTTCCCACGAGAATGTAAGTGCGTGCTCCTATTTCCCCGTGTCTCCTGCTGATATAAGATAAAAATTGTTTTAATTTATTTTATTATTATTAATTAACTATTCAATACTAAAGATGTCATGTGGATCATGGTGTAATGGTTGCAGCTCCTCCTCCTCCTCCTGGTCCGATTAAAAAGAGTGGCGGCGAGTTTATAGCCAGTTCTTCTCTTCCATTCTATGCTCTTAATTTGAGAACTGGCAGTAAATGTAAAATTAGAAGCATTTAATAAATATTTCTTTTTTGACGTTCACAATGTACACTGTGTTAACTATATGAATAAATGATTTTGATTTGATTTGATTGAAAAATAACGCTTATTTTTACATATTTTGTGAAATTAAAAGAAATATAGCGCACAATATATTTCAATTAGTTCTCCCTACTTTAGAGCCACAGGTGTACTCACGAATAGCGATTGAATTATTTCTCTACTTCTTTAGCTCCATTCACTTTAAGCTCATAAAATATAATCATTATTATTTACAATTCAAAGTTTAAAAAGTAATTTTGTATTTAACAGTATATTTTAAAAAATACCATAAAATAGGCAATTTACAGAAACACACTGATCAAAGTAAGTAATGTCGGCGAAACTTTATTGGTGAAAACAAGTGTTTGTAGGGAAAACGTCAGGTTAATGGGTTACCTACGCATTTGTTTGGATGATAAACACTTAATTGTAATTTGATACAATAACTAGCGACCGACTGGACATTTATTTTTTAAACATTTTTTGTAGATATTGATATTATGTTTTTTAATATTGTGGAACATTTTTTGTTCTATCATCAACCATTTTCGCAGCGCATACGATGAAAGATATTCTATAGGCATTTTTTTTACCTATTATCGTAATTTTAGTACGGATCGTAATTTTTTTCTTGCAATTAAAATAGCTTATATTAATCAGTGATAATGTACCATTCAATACTGAAAGAATTTCTAAAATCAGTCCAGCCCTGCGATTCTGTAACTCACTTTTCGAACTCACTGAGCGGTTTTCGCATTTATCGGAATGCCAAATCATAAAATGACTGCTTCACGACTGATTTGAGAGCGACCGCCGATGCGAAAACCGCTCAGTGAGTTCGAAAAGTGAGTTACAGAATCGCAGGGCAGTACTTTTTGAGCCGATTCGTACATACTTAAATACAAGTCTATCTTCTTTATAATCTAATATATAAAATTCTCGTGTCACAGTTTTCGTTGCCATACTCCTCCGAAACGGCTTGACCGATTCTCATGAAATTTTGTGTGCTTATTGTGTATGTCTGAGAATCGGACAACATCTATTTTTCATCCCCCTAAATGTTAAGGGTAGTCCACCCCTAAATTATTTTTTTTAATTTTTAAATAAATTACTTATTTTTAATTTTTTTATGATACAGCATAAAAAAATACATACAACCCCTAACTTTCACCCCTCTACGATCAACCCCTATTTTTATTATAAATGATATACATGGCAAAATGACGTTTGCCGGATCAGCTAGTATTAGTATAGATTATTGAATACATTTAAAAGTAAAGGAAAGTAACATGGGCGTCTCCTGTTTAAATTTAAAATATTTTTTTTATAAAGGGACTAAATAAGAACAGTTCTGACTAAGACACGTACGTTCGCTAGAAATAATATTAAAAGTTGTATTTTCAGCACCAGATATGAAAATCAGCAAGGAGACATTTTTAGAAACTGGAGAAACGCTATCCCTTAAGTGTATGGTTTTTAATTTGGACCCTGGGGACGTGACACCCGAGCTCTTCTGGTACAGGGGTAATAATACAACCGCTTTGGATGAGGTTCGAGGAGGCGTTTTGGTGGAAACTGATCAACTAACATTGACAAGTCATCTTCAGGTACGTAACTTATGAATAAAAGTTAGGTTTGTATTTTACTTTCCACCAAGAATTTTCATAAACAATGTTTCTAACAGAAAAGCACATGGCACGCATTAAAAAAAAGTTGTCAGATTTTAAAATAAAAAGTAAAAGCTTTGCCTAACTAGTAAAGTTACTAGAAATAGTTAGGCAAAGCTTTTACTAACGAAACTTGCGCTTCGCTTAGCTTGTCTTCGCTGACCTTACAAACGGTACGAGACTTATATGTGCAATCGCGCAAATATAATATTATAGCAGTAACAATTATTATAAAAATATTAATGAAATTCAACGGTCTTTTAGCTTTAAAATATCTCGTACAGATAGTTGCTAGAGATAGTTAAAGCTTACCTACGACACACTGACACCTTGGTAGGTAAAGACAAATAAAATATAAGATTTAAAGTGACAAGGACTTAACAAATACGAAGAGAAAAAAATACATCGATTCACAGATTACTAAAAAACAAAGTAATTTTTTTTTAATTTCGATAGCTCCTCTCAGTTATCGAATTATGGCCAAAAGGCGTTCTTCTGAAAGTAGGTGTTTGTTTGTGGTCTTTGGCTATCTGTTCTTCATATCTTTTAAAACAATTTTCACTCTGAAGCTTCCTTTGGAAAAATTTGGCAATTCAGTTATAAACTACTATATAGACATAGAAAGACGACCGACGACGCTGATTAAAAACGTATTTTAGTATATGTGACATAAAATCGAATAGGCAATTTCCCAGGCCCCGGGGTTGATGGTCTTCTAATAGAATTACGGAAATAAAGAAGCGCCTTAGTTGTAAGCTTTATTTTCGAGTGAATTTTTAAAAGTATGAATTATTATTTTTTATCATATAAATTGGGTTTGTAAGAGTACCATACGAAGAAATATTAATAATATTTTGTAACTACCTCGTTAAGTTAATTTTCTAGCCTTAAATTTGTAAAAACATCTCACTTTTGTGAATTAACTTTAAAAACACAAATTGGTTTTTATAAGTTAAATTTCTTTTAATAATAATTAATCATTGCTTTATTGAATATTTGCGTCAATTTGAAAATAATGTTTTGTACACTAAGTGATAAATTAAGATATTCCAGATTTCTAATAAATAAATGACGGGCTGTATAAAATACAATTCGTTAATTATTTGTGTGAAAAATGTTTTAATTAGAAGTTTTCCCATTATTTACATTTGAGGTAAAAGTTATGGCAACATTACAAAGGTCTGTACGAGTACACACAGTTGGGTGTCCTAGGCCGTGGACGCAAACTAGCAATTACGGCTAATTAGAGACGGTAACTTATTGTTGAAGTATTTACGTAATTATGATTGCACTGTACACTGTAGGGTGGGGACACTTTTGACGATTATTCTCTATTAATTAAGATAAAATAAAAAATAAAATATGTTTATTATGGAACATAATATACATACAGTATCACTTATTCCACGTCATTAAATTTCAATTTGTAGGCATTGATAAGTACATATATCCAGACTAGATAATTCCAAATATTAGTTACTTTATAAAAATAAATAAATAAAAAGAATATAGAAGTGAAACCATTTCAAAAGATTTCATTTTTTTTTAAAGAAAACTTCTTTTCTGTACTTATAGTAGTAATAAGCAGGTAATTTCGTCAGGAAACGAAGCTTGGAATTGAAATGTAGACAGTTTTTATCTTAAAACAAAATGATTTAAACACTGATGCGCTTCTAAATATCTTTACTTACCGTTTAAGATTAAACAATTAATAATACGTAGGTATTAATTATTTTCACACATACTAAGTTATAAGAAAGTTTTTTATTCTTGTCCTTTTGGTTGAATCGCTCTTACTATAGCCACACCCTGCACCACCCAAGACTGTAATTTAAACCCGGCACTCAGGTTGGTGTAATATATTTGTTGGGCTAAGTGGGGTCTTAACATTTTCTCCTATTTCAAAAGTACTATGTTTTGGGGGTATCACTTTGCTCTATCGAAAGTATTAAGCTTTTGTATTAAAAATTTACTTAACTAAATTTTGAACAATGCCTTATCGCAAAATCTATTTTGTACCAAATTTGTCACATACCTAAGACAGTATGATAAAAATTAGCATGGTACCTCGTAGGGACGACATCATGCTTTACAGAATATAGCTTTTCAGAATATAATAATACCCCATTCCTTTCTATATATTTGAAATTCGGACATCCAAAATGCGTATTATTTTGTACACAACAGAATATATTGTGTTCAATGAGAATATCGATATCCCACCACAATTAACCTCTCTAACTTTGTATTTCCGGTTACAGTATAACTCAGTCTAGATATTCACATTTCCAATTTCAAACATATTCAATCACCAAGTATATGAGAACATTCGATTTTAAGCCATTGTTAAGAGACAAAATTTGCCTCGATGCGCTAAAAATATTATAATGAATACAAAAATACATTTCGCGTAGAAAAAGTAATACAGTCGCATGTTTGTACTTTTTGTGCTCTCTACCTGCACTCATTTTTAATTAAAAAGTTTGTGCATGGAAAATACAGTATATAAAATGCATTTTAAATGGGAATATATAGTTCAATGTAAGTTTAAAAGTAATAAGATATCTTAAGATATCCAAACTTTAATAGCTTTTTCCACTGAAACATATTTTAAACATTTTAAATCCAGTTTCAGCTTCATATTATTGTAATAAATTTAACATTCGTTGCTGGCTTACAGTTTAAATAAAGCCAAATAAATAAATTCAAATTTCGAATAGCTGAACTAGATTAAATATTCTTAATTGTTTGTTGCGTATATACAATACATTCTTAATATGAAAGTCACGTAAACTAACATAAAAATTAATAATTATTATTTAAAATTTGATATAATACTACTACGTTAATTAAAAACTGTTAAATGCTCTTTGATGTGGCAGTCAGGAATAAAAATATTTTTGAAACAAGGCGGCTTAAAATTAAAACTACGAAAGAAATTCGAAAATATAACAGCCACTCAGTAAATTCATAATTTTGCCCTATTGTACTCATAATGCGGTAAAAAGCTTCTTAAAAATGTATGGAAAAAGTTTTGCCTTCACTTTAAGGCGTGACTCATTTTACAAAAGATGTTTTGTCAAGTTTTTAAAATTGTTGCCTACTTTAATGCTACAAGCGTATTTCGTAAGTAACAGTTGTATGGCAATTGGTCGCTTGCTTTTCAGCCTGATGGGAGGAATTATGAGTATTATAATTTAGTAAATAATTTTATTTTTAATTAAAACAGGTGGCTCAACTCAAACTTGAAGACGCTGGTAACTACACCTGTGCCCTGGAAGCTCCTTTACACATGAGAGCAACTACAAGAGTTCACGTATTACAAGGTAATAATTTGATAATAAAACAATTTTTTACCGGATTGAAGTTATGTATTTACAATCATTTTTCATAATTTTAAATTTAACCGACGTTACGCGGGCTTTAAAGCCTATTAAATGGCCGTTTACGTCTAATTTTAATGTTAATCATTATCCAATTCAACTAATTGGACTATTAGCATTGTATGTCAACGTAAATAGCAAACTAAAGCATCTCACTTTACACAAACTGGAATAAACTTTCATAGATTATTACCCTCCGCGCTCTTAACTTAGTAACTACGTGGTAACTTGAGCCTTGCTTTTACAAGGCTTTGTATACCTTTTGAATTTAAATAGCGCTTATACTGAAAACGTTATACGTACTTCAAAACCTCAAAAAGTTCTTATCATTTCATATATTATATAGTGTTTTTTTATCATTTCTTTGTTTTGTTTCTCATTTCTCAACCATTTCACATTTCACATTCAATCACAATGTGCCACAGCAAAGCGTGGCAGGGAACAGCTAGTATATATATATATATATATATTATTAGTTATTACTATGAAAATTTAAGAATAAAATGGTAATGCCTCATGATATAGTAATTGCATAGATTATGTGATAAGCACAGCTATGTTGAAATGAAATGGCAATAGGTTTACCATCTTCCATTCTATGATAACGCCCATGACGCATAAAATGGTCTTGTGGAAAAGTGGTTTCCGTCTAGTAGATCTGTGTCTCCACAACAAGCACTCATTCGTCCCTTTCTGTCTAACGCTGTCTGTGCCGTGACGAAAAGAGATCACTGCTTTCGTTTCAAGAATGCAATAACACTGGTGTATCGGATTAATGGTGCTAATTTCAGCTGCCACTGTCATTATTAGTTCACATAGCATTGTCATTCTGTCTCTATGAACTGTCAATCTGACATATGATGATAATGTCAACTGGCAGTAGCGCCATTGCTCCGAGAAATAAAATAAGTGTTAATTACAACACGAGTGTTAATTACAACATTCAGCAACACTAATTACCCTTATCAAGAAAAATAATTAAATTCTAATTAGCAGTGAGAATATAATGCGCTTGGCTATTAAGTATAATGGTCGCGTCCCAAATTGTGTGGGAAGTACCCTCTAAATCGGACTTAACGCAAATATTTAGTTCTTAATCTAAGTCCCACTGTGTGTCTGTGTAGATAAATTGAGTAATCATTACTAAGACGTATCTGTGGATTTATTATGCTAAATTGATCTTTGTTTTCAAATTTATTATGTAATAAGTAATTCTATACAACGACAAAGACGAAACTACGAGACATAGTCTTGTCATTCAAGAAAGAAAAAGAAATTCACTTAACAAACTTGGGCTCCTGGCTTAGATGACATAGAATTTTATTTGCTAGTTGAAATGTAATTCCCGATTAAGTTTGGGCTGGTAATAAAATATCAGACATGTACTACATAAGTTTCTTGGTAATACAAGTATGAATCTGCATTCGATTTACGAAAAGTCCGTAGTAACCTGCTTTGCGATTCTGTAACTCACTTTTCGAACTCACACAGCGATTTTCGCATCGGCGGTCGCTCTCAAATCAGTCGTGAAGCAGTCATTTTATGATTTGGCATTCTGATAAACAATAAACTACAAGCTCCCACCTTTTCAGAATGTTAAATCATAAAATGACTGCCTGACGACTGATTTGAGAGCAACCGCTGATGCCAAAACCGCTGTGTGAGTTCGAAAAGTGAGTTACTGAATCGCAAGGCTGTGCCTACTTCTTTGATTTCTTGGTTTAAGACAAGGTTTCCTTTTACCTTACTTATAAAAATGCCTTACTACATATTTAAGCACTTCTCAATTAAACGACTTAACAATGTTTAAAAAGTCTCACGTCTATTCAGATATTAAATTTTAAATCCCGTCCATTCAATAATATTCGTAATTCAATATTTAACACAACTATAAACATTACGCATCATTAATAAGTTTAAAACACTGGCTGATCTTATTTACATTTGTGATTTACTTAATTCCCATTCAACCTTAAATTCTGTTTATTAGTTGAAAAATATTTAAATACTAATGAATGGGTCTCTTAAACTTGAGAAGCATTTATTGGTAAGGGGAACAACCCTAGGTCATCGCAAAAAAAGTATTAATTCCGCACAAAGGCATCCATGGCCTTAAATGCAAGGTTTAGTTCATGCGTTTGTAATACTACCCCATATTTATTAAAAATAACAGTTTTATCCAAGTTCTCATCTGTCTCTTTTCATAACAGCCTAAACACAATTTGAAAGAACGAGGCGAAATAATACTTTACTTAAAAGTCTCATTGCAGTCTGATTTTTTTATGAATAAGAGAATAGTCTTTTTGTGTTCAGCTAAATATTTATGGTTTTGAATTCGCTCGCTTGTCGTGTACAAACACTTTAAGCGTACAGTGTTTAGACGCGAAACTAAAATAATTTTCTGGGTTCATTGTGAAAAGTTGCCGACCCGACGATAAAACTTAAGCGATAAGGATGCCTTAATGTCTTGGGAACAAGTGTTTCTTGTTTCCATGCTGAATCTAGATGTTATTTGTTTTGCTTGTAACATTATAAAATTAGCAATGAAATTAAATTACGATATAAAATGTAGGTTTTAACACAAATTTAGGTATAATAAAATGCATAAATGTTTTAATATGTGTAATCGTCAAACATCTGAATCTTTTGGAAAAGTTTGGCCCCCAGCGGCTTAACTATTCCAAAAGATTCATTTAAGTATTGTTAAATAAAACGAAGGTCTTAATCGTACGTCATAAAATAATAATTTCCATACACAAAATAATCGTCGTATATGCAACATACAGTACGACTTATTTGTTATTATAATTACAAATTTTGAACAATGCACAAAATTCTTTGATGTCGCCGACAGTTCTAGTTCATACCTAGATTGTCACGCGCCGCGCCGCTTCGTGCTTTTACACTTTACACCTAGGAATGTAAGATTACAAAATCATATGCTGCTACGTATGGTTTTTAAATTAAGTTTAATAGCGTGAGTTAACGCAATTTAATCATTCGTGAACCTATTTAATTTATTACAAAGATACATTTATCGTAGGCTACACTGCACCATTAGGTATTCATAGTTGAGATTTATTGAATACGATCCTATTATTATAAAAGCGTGCGTGACTTATTTTAAAATAAAATCCAAATTCCGGACGACGATAGTGATAACTATCTGGCTAATATTAGTCGTTTCGAATTTGCGACATGTGTAACCTGAATATAATACAGAAATTTAATGTACGATAATTTATTTGAGTTAAAAAATTCTCATACCACCTCTCTTCAACAGGTTCAAGCTTGGCTGAGCTGCAAAGCGGCGTAAAAACCACAACAAGCTACATAAGCCTCCTCGTGACGTCATTATTAATTGTTCTAGGAGCACGACACCATGACGTAAGGTGACCTAGTTAGATATAAAATACATTCAATGGATACGGAACGCTAGAATTTTTATGGGAACAAGTTATTGTAAACAGTGCGTTTGAAGTATTCCAAATTCAAATTGAACTAAATTCGAAATTCAAAATAACTCAAACTTGAAACAATAGTTGTCACTTGTCTATTACATACCAAATATTGTAATAGACAAGTGACAACTATTGTTTTTAGTAGTCTGTGAAACACTTATTCATAAAACCTGAATCAGTTTAATTGAACTCATTAAACTTAAGTACTATTTCGTATCTGTCATATTTTGTTTACGCTGTGATGGAAAGAGACATACAAGTACATATGTAATTTATTATATAATGAATAAGGGGATGTATTTAATAAAAATCACAAGCAATGCAAATCGGATCATTTTAATTGTAATAAACAACACATGAATTTGTCTAGTAATTGGAAAACGTTAATTGTCGTTACTATAATCGAAATATACTTCAAACGCATTACAAGTTTTGATTATTGATTGGAGTAAGTACACAAATAAAAGGTTTAAAGCCTGCGACATAATGTATTTAAGAATACTTAGTCATATCAGAATAAATAACTGAAAGTTTTGTAAAGTAAGATAAGGAAAGCTTTTAAAAATAGAACAGTATAAACTTGCATAGTCATAAACTTTTTGTTTTGCCTCTTCGATATCGGTGTCTTTCACGTGTCTACGTGGCATAATAATAACTCTTAAAAATTTAAAGAGAAACACGATTATCGATGATGAACTGGAGATGCGTATGCGCCATGTGTCGTGAAGTCACAGGTGTGTAATAATTAGTTATAGTACTATTATGTACTTTGTTAGCTCACTTCACTTACCATAATAATGTCATTATATTCATATTAAAGAGCCAAGAACTACAAATGACATAACTTCTCATTGTATTTATTTTATAGGTTTCAAACTGTTTCCATGGAAACCAAATCACATAGAAACGATTGCGTTAAGTATGTATCCCGTCCAGGATCTATTTTATTTTGTAAATAAATGTATGTTAAATAAGTGTTTTCTGCACTAAAATATCTTCTTCACATATCTTACTATCGGAATAGCACTATTATTGTAACGGTATTATAGTGTTAAGTATATAGACAATTATTTGTATCTTTATCCTGTGTTTTTCATTTGTTTATGCGAGACAAGTTGCCTTTTATTTAATGTAATAAATGTGTACTTTAAAAACAATCTCGTGCGTTTTTTGTATACCGTTCTTTACTATTACTATTGATTCGTTATATCTCAAGTCAATTTTAAAATTGATTTATAATGTGAAAAATCAAGATTTCAACTCACACTTTGGTTCTCAAAAATTATTCGCAAAATACGATTGGCAATACAGACGTTAGTAAAAGTTAATTACAACTTATTAATCTCCTATTACCCAAGAAACGTTTTCACCTGTCCGATCGATTGAACAATTACGGTGGGATGGCGAGCGTGTCCCACATTCTACGACTCAATGTTCAAATACCTTAGTTCAATTGGAAATCAATTCTATTCTACATTTATTCCGGCTTCCTTTAATGTGTATTGGGATTAGAGGAATGCACTAAGCACCGGATAATGGGCCAGATGATAGGGGAGGTGTGTTTTATATTTTTTTATTGCAGCTTTCTTTCTGTGTACTCGCTTAAATAAAATGTTGAAGCGAAACTTACAGCGTCCCCCGTACCGTAAGAGTTTTTATAGATATAAAAACAACTAATAAAAATATTAAGACTCGATCACAGGTCTCATAGTCGGACATTAACAGTTGACGTATACTTGAAGCGTACAGTAAAGGCTTTAATAAGTTTTTAATCCAATAAGAAATTTATTTTACAGTTTCATAAAATATTACTTAAAACTTGTACATTCAGTGTTCAGAACTATTATGTTTCATCCACTACTTTATTGTATGATTATTTTTATTGCAAACTTAAAATATATTTCCGAAACTGTCTTACCATTAAAATTAATTTTGTATGAGTTCAATAAAAATAATTGGAGGAATTATATGTAAGCTTTATAAATAAGTTGAAATTTATCATATACTTACTATTAAGTGATCCAATTTATTTACTTCGTCGAATAAGTTATTGCATGTTTATATATAATTAAATTACATTCAATAAATGTACATATAGTTTATGAGATATTGTGTTATCATTTAACATATCGGTGCTTAAGTTGACTTTTTATATGTTTATTATGTAATAATATGTGATACATACAATTTCTAATAAAAGTACTTGAAATTATTGATTTTTTATTTTATACACCTAAGCGTCTGAAATGCGATCCTTAAAATGAAATTTGTTTGTTATGAACCTTGACCCTAAAACCAGTAGCGATACAACCTTTTTAGGTCTGGGCCTTAAATTTTTGTATCTATTTCGTGGCTTAATAATTAGTCGGCGTGATAAAGTTGACTCTAATTGGTCTCTTGGGGGTAGTTTGTTCGTCTTTGAAAGCACAAGTTTACGCGTTAAGGTTAAAATATGAATGAATAAAAAATTTTAATAATTTATTTCAGTCTCTCGCTAACTAATTGGAGAAAAGCACCCAAATGACGTTTTATGTAAATAATGTAAAACCGCGTTTATATTCATTGAACTTTAATATAAATAATTATAATTTCAAGTCTGTTATGAAAGTTCTTTGCAAAATTTATAAAGTATGTGTCTGCAAAATCTTTTGGTAGTATGAGAGTTTGTTTATATTATATTAGGCTTAGAAACGGAATCTGTTTTATATTAACATTTCCTTTATAAGGGGTGATCAATAAATAGTGATTAGTAATTCTTCTTGAAAAAAAAATACTGGTAAACAGGTCAGAAATTAGATATAATAATAAATCCAAAGTCAAGTTGGCCGCGAAGAGACAGCCTCAAATGCTGGTGATCCTCGTTGATGTTAGAGTTGAGCCTCCTAACATTAGTGAATGTCTACAGTGTGTCTTCAGGGGGTGGAAGGTGAATTAGTTAAATTCTTACGTTTGCTCCGAGATCGAAACCTGGGCTCCGGGAGTCTCACTCACCGCACGAAATGCGAGTACAATAAGATGAACCTATTGCATCACTTCACGCCGGTTTTCTGTGAGACAGTCGTAATGCCCCGTGCCTGCCCATTTAGCTGCAGCCCGAAAGCAACAGCATGGCACTCCCACTACGACAGGTTATTTCACCAGTGGGCGATGGCCGATGGTGTCGTCACGTCCCGATACCGGCAAAAATCTTTACATACGAAGAAATTTAAGGCGATACCATCCGCCGGTAAGATCATGGGCTATTATTTCTGGAACAGCCAAGGGGTGATATGCATAGAATGTAGTTTACTAGTACGGGGACATTGTACACAGGACAAATAACAATGTAGCGTAAGGAAATAATCAAACAGAAGGGCCTCGTTCCTAAAGTTCGCCTATTGTCCTCTATCAAATATTAAAAAAATAGTAACAAAAAATTAAATAAATAGTAGTCCTACTTTAGCCCAGATAATAACATCTACGCAAATTTTACCTATCATACCATACCTAAATACAACCTAGTCCATTATTAATTCAATTTCTCTGAAGATCTTCAATTTGAATATTATTTTAATAAAACTTATTGCTTTTCGCTTTGCGTTCCGTTTTCGTGTAATTAGAAAATTTAATATGAAAAGGTAATAGAATATTTTGCTTTCTATAATTAAACTGAGAAATTCCTTTATCATTTTAGATAACAAAGTATATATTATAAGTGCGTTTGTTGCTTGAGTTGATTGTGATTTGATTCTTTGTATGAGCACAATTCCGTCTATGACATAAAAACATCGTAAGGAAACCGGCGTCAAATAGACACAAACATAAAGTATGCGTATTATGCACGTAAGACTAATCGCCCTTTTCAGGAAAGGGCGGTAGGGCCACTGTATTAATTTTTGCATATATTAGTAGATATTTTTGTAATATAGCTTGATATTGCACTATAAAAATATTTTGTTACATAAATATTAGAATATGTTTCTATTATTCAATAGCTACTTGAGGCTCGATGAAACTTCGTGAACATGTGGATAAAGCTGGAATCACCAGACAGATCATCATCATCCTCTTTATTCGGTCCATTTCTGGGCGTAGGCCTCCTCCATTGTCCACCAGAAACATAAATCAAATAAATTTTAATTTCCGTCAAATTAGTCGGGAAATTCCCAGCCAAAAATAAAAACAAACCATTCGTTAACACAGTTTCAAGAATATGGATGAGGACATATTATTCTTACGAGAACAGTTATTTCCCAAGACGCTCAACATTCAAAATAAGCTAAATCCTGCTTACGTATGAAATCCACGGATAAACATTTTGTATATTTTTGTGGAAGTTAGGAAATTTTTCATAATTTACCTTGAATTTTTATCGTTTACAATTGGACAAGACCTTGAAATTATCTAATAAAATGTGGGGCCTGATGGTAAAAAACTTTAAAAATTACGAAAAGTAACATCTTTAAATACATTAATTATATTATATTTTGTTAAATTTATTAACGTATTACCAATAGTAACAATTCAGTCCCAGATACAATGTTATTATTGGTTAGCAATCAATTGCTATGCCATTTTTCAGGTCGACTTCATGGATGTAATAAGCTGTTTTCTTTAAGACTACTAGGTTTTTAGGTTCACACTTTAAAAAGTAGATTCTACAGAGCGGTGGTTCGCTGGCCAAAACTCTTTGACGTGAAACATAAGACGTCACCTCGCGTAGAAGAAGTCAATTTACAATTTACGTAATATGTATTTTATAATGAATACTAGTAGACTCGGCCAAGCGTTGCTGTGGCTAAGATTTTTGTTATATTACATAGTAGTAAACTATTCAAGAGAAACGGCAGGAGAACACCAATCCACCATGCTTTTTTGGTCGTTATGCCATTAAATTGAAGCTTATGTGAAACGTTGGTACTTTCAACACACAGCGCCATCTGTTAGAATTGTGAC